CCATATGTTGCCTAATCTAGAGCAGATGCAGCAGCTGACCAAAAAAATTCAGATATAAACCTCATTTTAACCAAGAGACTTCCACAGTGAAAATTCATAGCGTTTTGGAGACATGCATAAACATACCAAGGGCTGGCTTGCTGAAATAAAACCACATAAAACTACTTCTTTCTCTTGAAAAGAATTTCAGTTCTCATGTCTTAATAAAAGAACATGTGGTAGTGATTGGTGAGGGGTGGAGGAGGGCAATTTTTTCTTATTTTATGGGAGTCTGATGATGATTCACATTTTACCAGGACAGGATGATAGAAATTGTTTCATTTTCTGAACCTCTTTCTGTACCTTGCTTGCCTGCATGACCATTTCTGTGCCTGACACTATTCAATGTTTAGAATAAAGAGATGTGGTAGTAGGAAGAAATTGTGGGATTTTACATCACTTGTGTAGCCCTCCAGCCCTGGTGAAGGCAGCAGGTGGACTGTGTTAGCATTCTCTCCTTTAGGTTCAGTTTCTCAGATAGATCCAAACCAGTGCAGAGACACAGCAACAAGCAAAAACCATGTCTAAACCAGAAAATGAATATTCTGTTCCTTTGCAGGACATTTCCACGGAGCCACCATGAAATCCCTGTCCTTAGGGGAATCATAGAATGGCCTGGGTTGGAAGGACCTCAAAGATCATCTGTACCTCAGCCTCCTACCAGACCATGTTGTTCCATCCAGCCTGGCCTTGAACACTCCCAGGGATGGGGAATCCACAGCTTCTCTGGGCATCTTTTTCCAGTGCCTCACCACCCTCACAGTAATTAATTTCTCCTTAACATCTCTTTTTTTAGTAAAATATGTTTCCTCTTGTCAGTAAGAGAGTGACTTGGTATGACTTGGGGAAAGGATATATATATATATATATATATATATATATAATGTCTGTATAATGTCTGGGGTTATGTAGGAAATTGCATATATAAAAATAGTAATTTACAAAGATAAAACCACTGGATTTATGGCATTACCAAGAAAACACAAAACAAAACAAACAAAAAAAATACCATTAGCCATTACTTTCATTGACCTTTTTTTGGGTACAAACATTTTTCCTGACTATTGCCATGACTTTCTGGGGTACCTATCATGTGCACATGCCCTTTTTTACCTTCTGGAGATAAAAAGAAAAGTCCTTGTGAGTAAAGAAGTTAAGCACCAATGAAGCTGCAAATGGAAGGATTAAGAGTAGAGAAGAATGCATGTCATTGCAAGCAAGCAGGCATCTCATTCCTTCATAGTGTTTGTAACAGGGACAATGTCTTATCTAATAAATTTTGCTTTCCAGTTACTTTTTCAGTGTAAAGTTTGAGAGTGGTTCAAGTTGTGAAAGTTATCCATATTCATATCAATATTCAATGCAGAGGACACATGCAAATCAGGAATTAGGGTGTACTGGCCTGGTTCATGCTCACTTTTAAACTTAAGTGCAGCCTGAAGTGGGTTTAGATTTTGCAATATTTTATAGATTCTTACAACACATATGACTAAATTAATTATTTTCTAAGTTGCCCTCAAGCAAATGAGCTCCTTTCAGTCCCACACTTGTCTGAGAGCCAGGATTTGCTTAGATCAACAGTTTAACCCTGACTTCCACTGACTTAAAACAACACCTTCCTCTTATGTACTGGAAACAAAATGCTCCAAGATAAAATTTACCACCCTATAATCCTCTGTTTTTCACTTGGGGGTATTTTTATCCTGTTGCTCTCCTGAGTATGTTTCTATGGTTAAATTTGGAACCTGTGAAAATAAATATTTTTAGTAGAAATATTCTAATCTCAAATATAGGAGCACAATTGAAACTGCTGTAATGCAGTAATATTTTTTTGTGATAAAACTAGCTTGTAGATCTATGTAACTCTGGCACTTAATGATTTCTGATGTCTGGAAGGTATTAGACTGTGGTTGTAATAATCTCTATAATTGTAACAGTTCATGCTAGCTAGAGTGCACATCTATTCTTCATCTGTCCTTAAACTAATTTGTTCTACGTATGAATATATCACAGTCATCAATTTAAAGTGCCATCCTTTGGCTATGCAGGTGATTAAGGAGTATACATTATGTATGAGAACACACCAAACTTACACAAATGCTTTTTAGGAGTGTGCCAAATAGCTGCTTTCCGTAAGAGTTTGTGAGCTATTATTCCAATAGAAACACAAGTCACAGCTACAACTAACCAACAATCAATTACTTCTTTCCATACTTAATGCCTTGGGATGATGAGAGTTATGCTGTGACTCTGTGCTGAATTCTAAAAAATATATTAAAAAAAACCCCAAACAAGCAAACAAAACAAAAAACTCAAACAGAACCAAAAAAACCCTACATGACCCCTTTCACACCTCCCTCCCCACCAAAGAAAAAGGAAACCAACCTTGAAAATCAGGCGATAATGAATTTTCCCACTCGTTGCTGCCCATAAAGTTTTCATTGCAATTAGTGCAGTGCTGGGCTCTTAAAAGCCTTCTTTTTCTGGAAGGGCAATTTTGCTCTACAATGCAGCTAAATATGGAGGGAGCACCTATTAGAACATCTAGCACAAATATTTCCCTGCTCATAGGTCTGATGAAGAAACAAAGAAACTCTGAGGTTATGATTTCTCGTAGGACATGAGTCCAGTCTGTGTTCTCAAGGGTGAACTTGGCAAAGACATCCCAAAGGAGGCTGAGGACTGTGGAGAAGGCCAAGTGTCACTGGGCAGAGGGCTCACAGTGCTAATCTGTACCAGGAGGGTGGCTCAGATAGCAACATTTGACTACTACCTGATCATTATCTTATAGTTGACAGGAAATCAAATACTTTCCTCAGTTATATTCCCAGCAGATGGGCAGTCAGCACCAGAGATTTATACAGACAGCACAGAAATCAGTCCTCTGAGGAGCCCCAGAGTACATCAGGAATTTCAAATTAACCCCTTATTTTCAGTCTTTGCTTGGTCCTTGAAATTTTACATGCGATGTTGCTGGAGATTCCTCTGTTCTGGATCAGTTTTGTGTTCACTTGCAAGATAAACTCCCTCTTTCTGACTGGTTATGGAGATGAGAAACCAGATCTACTCTGGAGCACTTATCTCATGAAACTGAGAAATGAAACTGCTTTCCTCACCATGTTTCTGAGCTGTGCATGTTCAGTCAATGAAAAGAAGGATGCATTTATCTTTAGAAGATAAAGTGAACCATTTCCTCCCAGTACAAGAGGAGCATCTCTTTGGGGACAACATCTCCAGGAGTGATTAAGTGCCAATCACTTCATTCCCACAGTTAGGTACAAAGAGCAAAACCCAGTCTTCAGTAAATTAAAAAGGTTGACAGCAGAGAATTCATTGTGGGTCTAGAAGCTGTTAAAAGGAGGAGGGATAAATATAAGATGTGAATGCATGTACATGGGAAAAGGAGGTTATCCATGGCATGAGACATGCACACCCCTTACCCCCACAGGCAGGTAGTGTCTACTTTACTATTTCAATGTTTTACAACCATGCTCAACAAACACTCACACAAACCCATTAATAATGCTCTATGACTGTGGCTAAGATTTTAAAAAAGCCAAACCAGATGTTTCTACAAAAACCTGTTAAAAATTGTGTCAAGAGTCAGTTGCCAAAATATACAAACTTAGTGTTTCTCTCAGCAAAAATACACTTTGCCATGTACCTCTATGTAGGATAATAAGGTAATGAGTCACACAGATTTTATATATGCTTGCCTTCATATATTGGCACATATAATATTAATTTCTTCTAGAGTTACTTCCATAATGCCATTGAGAACAGAGAGAAAGAACAAAAGAATAAAGAGAGAGAGAAAGAGAGAGAAAGAGAGAGAAAGAGAGAGGAGGGAAGGGAAGGTGCGGGAAGGTGCGGGAAGGTGCGGGAAAGGAAGGGAAAGGAAGGGAGGGANAGGATTGTCCAGCCCAGAACCTTCCAGGACTCAAACACTCATTTAAAAAGCCTCTTGGTTTTTCATTTAATGAGCAACCAGGGAAAAGAAGCGACTCTGGGTTTTTTTGTTCTCTGGGGTGAGTAGATTCCTTCTATCACCAACACAATGAGTGGCACTGGTGAGAAATTTGTCATATTCATTTTTACCACACACTCTGAATAGAATGACCTGACTCCCTGAGCTGTCAGTTTTTCTCCAACCTGGAGCAGATGTCCAGTTTTTGCATAACACGACATTCCAAGGTACCCTATTCTAAACAGCCACTTAGAGCAGTTTCAGGTAGAGAAGAGCTTTGCCAAATGACTGAGATTAGAAACTTTTCACAGCTAGAATTCAGGTGAGGAGTTAGAGAGTGAGGCTGGAAAATGAGTGAATGATTTCATGGCTTTATGGGAGATCTGTAAGCATCCCACCCCATCCCACTGGACGTGGCACGTGCTGAGGGCAGGCTCTGGTTGGGCAGACTCAGTGGGGCTGAGGTAAATTGATATTCAGCTGGCAGACATAGCATACTGACACCAAAGCCAGAGAAATCCTGGGAGAAGCTGGCCTGCTCTGTAAATTGCCCACAGAACTGAGATTTGTGTCCTATGATAGCAGTACCTTGTGTTACATTGCTTAAAATGATTATAGCTATCAGTTCGGTGTTTTTTTTTAGTTTCCCTCTCCTAAGCAATTTTTGTCCCAATTATCACTTAAGTCATGAAATAATTTTAGCTCCAGTTACTACATAATTTGAGCTAATGACATTTATTTTAACAATGGTGATTTTCATCATTACAGCTAATGAAGGCCACATGGTGTATGAACAATCACCACTTATATAAAGCCACATCTTATGGTTAAAAAAGAAATCAAAATCAAAATCATTTGCAAGCAAAGGTAATGTGACTCAAAATGAAGCCCAGAGAGTTTCAATGTATTAGGTGTTCTTAATTAAAGATGTGTTTCAAATGGAAACTGATATCTTTGTGCCCACTCTGTGCTGCTGGCAGAGAGTGCTGATGTTGTGTTTCAGCTGTTTATGAGTTACATTTTTCTTCCCTTTTATTACAGCTCTTTCTTTTACGCCTTCCTGAATCTGCTGATCAGCGCCTTTGTGGTGTTCATCACATTTATTGCCAGCACTATAGTGAGTGTAGGATTTAACATGTGGTGTGATGCAATTACTGAAAAAGGAAGCATGCCAAATAGGTTAGTATTGAAGAATACATTGTATTCCTTTTATTTTTTTTTTTCCATATAGGCACAACTGAACTGTGGTGTTACAAAGTGTAGTTATTACACGCAAGGTGAGCAAGGGGGAGAAGGCATTTGTAATATGAAAATACAGAGTTTTTTCATGTGGAACAAAAAAAAAAGCAAATCAAACTTCTTTTTGTTTATTTAGAAGGCCACAAAGAAAAGTGTGTTTCCATCATATTTTGTGGTCTCTTTGAATCATGATCATGTGAAAAACAAATCCGTTATGTTAAAATTTTTTATTTCCAAAAGAATGTTAGATCTGGGGTTTTTCTAGTAATGGGGGGAGTGTGGCCTTGTGAGCTGGGCAGGGGGCTGGGGCTCAGGGCTCCTGGCTTGCAATCCTGGTTCTGCCCCCAGCCCACAGTGTGACACCAGACAAGTCACTTATCCCACCAGTGCCACAACTCATCATCAGACAAAAAATTTGGGGTAGAGTTCTTTGCCTCGAAGTGATGCTGTGGATGCCCTGAGAGGCACAGAATGGCAGGCACTTTGTTGTAAGTGCAAAGTACAGATGGCTGATGCCTTGTTATAGTCACAAGATGTACAGCTCCTAAAATGGTCCACTGTATCCCACGATGCTTCTGCTCCTTGTAGGAAACATGATAAGTTGAGGAAGATTTGCTCCTATCAAACAAATAACCATGAAGAGAGAGAGGAAAATGTGACATTTTATGTCATATGATATTGAATACATGTACCTACTTAAAGCATACATTTATGTTGCACATTGTCATATGTTGTAAAATGCCATAGTGAATGTTCTGTTTAGGGCTGCAACGATTAATCGAATTACTCGAATATTCGGTTAAAAACTCGATTACAAAAACCATCTAATCGAATATTCGGGTAAGAACCCAAGATGACCGACAGCACTGAAAAGGAGAGAGAAGAGGCTGCAGAAACCAACCAAGAGATAGAAAGACAACCTCAAAACCCTGGGATTTTTTTCACACCAATAATGGTTCAAGTTATTTGTAAAATCTGTAGGCAGCCCCTATGTTACCATCAGAGTATCGTCTCCTTGCTGGAGCATCCGAAACAAAAACACAATTCCTTCTTCTGAGGCTTTTCCTGATGAAGTCAAAAGGTAACAGAGGATCATACACTTTGTTTCATTGAGGGGTGACACAACCAGCCCGGGGTGATGCCAGCTGCCAATCTGTGGGAGGCGAGGGGGCAGTGGGAAAGAGGGGTTTAAGGAGTCATAATAATTAAGGTTTAAGTACTCTTAATAACTATTACAATTCCACTTATGGGAGATTTGTGTTATCACTTACCTAACTGCACTTTTTTTTTAAAGAAAGTAATTTTTATCTTAGTTTTAGAGAAGATAAACAAACAACCTGATGTTTGCAATAAATATCCTTTGATAGAATCTACCACTGTGACTGTTCAAAACACATTTAATATGTTTCATTTTATATTTGGTTTGCCTGGAATATCTTAAATAATTTTCTTCTTTTTTTTTTTTTTTTTTTTCCCCTTCCAAATGCTTTTCTGGGTAGCTGTGAAGAATTGCAGGATATAGATCTTGAGCTGAACTTGGAAAACTCTGCTTTCTATGACCAATTTGCTATTGCACAGGTAGGTCAGACTAAGTCATGGTTCTATTCTAGTTCATTTGCCATTTGCTTATTGACCTGGGATTTCTGGAGCTGAACTACCATTCTCAGAAATCAATGGGAATGTTTCCACTGACTTCAGTAAGTGCTGAATCAGAATGATAGGCATGGGCACATTTGCATTTTCAATTCAAAATACACAGTTTTGAATACAGATATTTCAAAGCCTCACCCTACCACTGATCTTGTTAATCATGACAGAAAACTCATTGTTTATCCAAAGGATGAGGTCTGCAAAAGTTGCAGCAGTCTGGTGTCCTGGACCTCTTCATTACTGTTCAAAATAATTTCTGACCTGCACTGTGTTGTGGGGTTCCTGGTTTTGCCTTCCTTCATTTCGACTGAGATCACCTAAGCTATATAAATATCAGACCACTGAAAATAATCAAAGATGAATTCTTTCAGATAGGGCTGTTTTCTGATGAATCCATGAGAATCAGACCTCTAAGGCTATCAGACCTTTCTATTGAGTGTTCAGAGTCATTGATCAGAGTCAGTGAGCACTGGGACATGAGCACATATTAATTTTGCAGGGATGATAGTCCCATCCCTGCAGGGCTGCCCCCTTACAAAGGCTAATGTTATCTCACATGGAAAGAGGCATTAGCCTTCCTGGAGCATTCCTTGAAGGTAACCCCACCTCTTGGGCATGAGCCAGTTTTGTGATTAGTTGCCAACATTGGCATCTAGATGCCCAGCTCAGGAATAACAGCATTTAGGAATGAAATATGCCATAAAAGAGACCCCTTTATATGAAGAACCCAGGACCTCCCTGGATTTAGCTTGGCATGACTCCATGGGTTTTGGGCCAGCTGAGGTTTTCATAATCACCTGGACAGCTGACTTTGTTTTTACAATACTGTACTGACCTCTTTGTGGTTTCTTTCCTTCCCCAGTTTGGTCTTTGGGCTGCCTGGCTGACTTGGTTGGCAATTACCATTCTGGCTTTCCTGAAGGTTTATCACAACTACAGACAGGAGGACCTGCTAGATAGCCTGATCCATGAGAAGGAGCTGTTGCTAGGAAGATCCCCTTCACGATCCTCTTTGCAAGATGACAAAAGTGGCATGATCTAAAGTGTAAGCAAATTTCCAGGGCAGGATCTAGATTTTATTATTCAGTTGTGTGAGCTGAAGTTGAGTCAGGGTATTGAGTGTGTGAGATCTTTTATTTTCCTGAAATGAAATGTGAGTCACTTCCCCCATGAGAAATTGTTGGCAGAAATACTGCTATTAGGATGAAGAGAATGAAATGCCCTATGTGCCTATGGCACAGCAAACTTTCTGTCCTGTGCAGGCAAAATTTGTAACCTGCCCTTGTCAGCAGAGCTCCTACGTGCCACTGCTGGCTTTTGGGACAGGAGGCATTTTTGAGGACCGATCTGGCAAGAGCAGGCTACAGCATCCAGGCTATTTCTTCAAACTATTCTTCAGCAATTGTTGTAACTGGAGCTGCATTCAGTCCCTCCTCCCTCCCTCTCCTCCCTTTTGCCACTGAGCTGCCCCTGTCCTCTCTTTATCCTGGGAAGTTGCAGCTCTGGTTTGGGGACAGGCTGTCTCTGTCTCTGCTTTCACTGTGTATGGAGGCAATGCTGACAAACTCCTGCTCCTGCTCTGATTTTATTTAAAACATAGAGACCTGTGTACCACGCCTGATATTTAATATTGGACAGTGCTAATGAATTCCATGAAAGAAGTATATTATTACAGCACCTGTCAAATACTGTGTATAATGTGGAAGGATGATGGAGAACTTCTGTGGTTTTGTTTCTTCTTAGATTTTGGCATGACCAGCATTTATTATGACTCCTGAAGTAAAGTGTAGCTAGAAATTGCTGAAGCTTGCATACTAAGAAATTAAGCTGAGTAGATAGCATTAATGCTTGTGCATTTATAAATGTAACTTGGTCCTTAACACGGTATACTATTCTGTTTTGAATATTAGAATTTATTTGTGATATTTATTTCATGTAGGATATGCAAAATTACTGTAAGCATTTGCATTGTAGGTTTATATATATAAACATAGCAAGGAGTTCAGACCACTGAGTTATTTTATAGGTATTTCAGTGCTGAATGGGTCCATTCTCCCCACTCATGGGCAGGAGTTCCAGGGCAGATGAATTTTGCTGTGAAAACAAAGAAAAATTGCTATTTACACAAAGATCACTGGTGACTTTGTTGTTGCTTTCAGTTTGGCTTGGCCAGTGCTTCAACAAATCAGGTGGATTGTTGAGATCAGGGGTAGCTCTGATAATTAAGAGTTACTCAGAGGAGTGTGGGATTTGCATGGCAGAGAAGTAAAGTTGTGCTAGAATTAAGCATTTATCCCCAGGTCCACATTACACAGAAGACCCCAAATCAGCAGAAAACAGCTAAGTTCAGACTGAAGAAGACTCTCTGTGTCTCTGTCACTCTCTGTGGTACCTGTATTTGAGCTGAGACTGAATTTACTGCTACAGAAGTGCAAATCACACACAATATACAACCTGGTAAATCAGAATGAGGGGAAAGAAGACAGCAGGGTTCTGCCAACTCAGAGCTCAAGCCTGGAATTAGCACAAGCATGCAGATTAACTGTTGTCTTCTAGGCTCTCTCTGATGCTTAGTTAAGTACCAGCTTAAGCTTTTCATTGAAGCAGAATTTGATGTCATGACAAATCCCTCAATTATTAAGCATTTTAGGGCATAAAAGCTGACATTGTATGTAACTGCCAAAATGTTCTCATAGGTTTAGAGAAAAAACCCTCCATGGGCCCTGAGCAGTGAACAGCCCTGTGAACATTGCTTATAAGCCCAGCTGGCCAGAGCTCTCTGTAGAGAGGTCTTGCTCTTCAGCATGATTTCTGCCCTCAAGAGAACGCAATTCCTTTGAAAGCTTTGCAGTAGTGGCTTTTTTTTGTAGTTGGGAGTTGACATCAGAGGAGGAGTCCTGGGGAGGGAATCAAAGATCAAGTTAATTAATACCAATTTAAAATTTAGATAGGACAGGACTGTCAGAGTGCCTTTTTTTTTTATTCATTTAGTCTAATGGTTTGGATATTAGGAAAAATCTCTTCATTGACAGGGTTGTCAAGCACTGTAACAGGCTGCCCAGGGAAGTGGTGGAGTCACCATCCCTGGGTGTATTTAAGTGTAGATGTGGCACTGAGGGACATGGTTTGGTGGTGGCCTTTACAGTGCCATGTGAATGGCTTGACTGGATGATCCTAGAGGTCTTTTTCAACCTAAATTTCTCTGACTCCAGTAGGAGATATCCTCTTGCAAGTACCTGAGTCCATTGCCAGGGAATCACCTTCTTCATACCCTGTAGAAGAGCTTGGGTCTTGTAAGCTAGCCTGCTTCCTATGTTGGCCTGTTTCCTATGTTTCCCCAGTTTCTCCAGTTGTAAAAGGCAGTCTCAGTTTCACTCAGCTGTGACTTCTCTTCCCACAAATTACTTCAGTGCATGCCTCTCTCCTTGTGTGGAACCATGCTGCTGCTTTTTGTGTATTTTATGTATCTGCCAAATCAGGCTTAGGCTGAAGTCATGTGTGGGCTGGGACCAGTGTTCTTGGTGTTTCCCAAGGGTTTGAAGAACCAAGAGGCAGAAGATAACAAGTGCCTGCTTGTGTTTCTTCTCTGAGGTACCAGGGCCCAAGCCTTGTCTCTGGTTCTGAAAGAGAGGATGCTGCTTATGGGCAAGGCTGTCTGGGGCTCATGCTGTCTTCTACCTCTCCTGCCTCAAGGTCTTTTTCCTCCTTTCCATTTCCATGAGAAGCAGCAAACACTGATCCTGGATTTGGAGTTGCCACACAAAATGAAAAGAGGCTGAAGCTCTTCTGTGAGTGCCCTGTGATTCTTATTCTGTTTTCACAGCTTCCCTGCCTTGACCAGGTGGGGTGAGCTGGCACCCCCTTGCAAGCATCAGGGATGATTAAAAGCAAAGTTGTTTTTGATGGAAGGCCCTGTGTGAGTCAGAAGGCAGAGCATGTCGTGAGAAGTTCTCTGGCTGACCCAAGGGGAGCAAGGTTATCCTGCAGCTCTCAGATATTGGACACACTTGGTGGTTTTTATTTGCACTAAGTTTTCTGCAACCTCGTCTCTTAAAGCTTGGGCACTCAGGCCAAGCAAGTGATGCCAAGCTGAAAATGTGTTAGAATTGTGGTATAATTTATGGACACATACATACATACCCATGCTCTCCCTCATTCATTTTTCTCTTTTGTACATTTCTGATGTCTGCTTTGAGTCATCCATTGCCAACCAGCACATCGTGGGGCTGAGTCAAATATTGCATTTCTGTGACATTTCAATACCTTTAATTTGCCATGTCCAAAGGCAGGCCTTGGGGAACTCTCTAGCAAGAGTTGTATTCAAAGAACTAGAACATTGTGTGGTACTTATACCTGTATTTATTTATTGCCACATGGTGGAAGGGGAAAAAGCTTTGTGACCTTTCCAAGGCTCTGGGGCTGTTGCCACTCTAGTGTTCTGCTGTACCAAATATATTCTCTGCCTACCATCTGTAGTTAAATTTCAAACCAATTCCCTGGCAGCAGTCCTCATTGGGTTAGAAGAATCTAAGCTAACAAGTGTCATCTGAGCTTTTAGATCAATACTGTTTATTACTATTTTTTATAATGGAGAAACAATTGCAGCCATCTTTTGGAAAAGAACTTCGTCATGGGTGCATTCATGCTCAAAACATCTCATATCACTAACCCATGAGGCATGTTTCAGCAGAAAAATTTCAGTGAGAATCACAAAAATAAGAGCACGGCAGTGAAAACAGAATGACACACTTGTGCTATAGCAGCAATTCTATGGTCCCTTAAAAAAGGGGGTGTTATAGTAACCAGTGATGGATGATTGAGTGTACAGATCTTGTCATGGAAACATTCTCTGTGTATGTACAATGCACAGAGATAAATGCCAGAAATGGTTCCACTGCTCTTGTGTGATGTGGATAAAGGCTCTTAACAGGCAGCTTCAGCTGGAGTAGTTGCTAGAATGCCTTAAATTTCTATTCTTCCTTCTACTTAGCACCAGGACTCGTGCAATGGCAATGGTTATGATACACAGAGGTGGAATTGATGTGGGCAGAGTAGGAAAGCACTGGCCAGTGTATAACTCCCAAAGGCTGGGATGAGTTTCTAGTGCAGGTTTGCAGGTGTTTTAATTCCTCCCCTTTGTCTGGGTGATGTCCTGCTGCTAGCCTAAATTACTCCAGTTAGGAGCAGTCAGATTTCCCTTCAGGCCTTCACTCCTCAATATGGAACACTGCTGATTTAACCTGTGCAGTGCTCAGGATGGAAGCAGAGTTGCAAGGAAGAGGAGCTCACACTTTACATTCATGGTGCACACAGCCTGGTCCTGGGTGCATGTGGGTTTTGTCATGACCCTTCTCCCAAGCCTTCCCTAACTTATTGCATGTAAAATCACTTGCACCGTTTAAATTATAAAAATTTATATCCAGACAGTAAATTATACTGGAAAGACTGACAATATTTTGTGAAAACCAATCTGGATCGTGAGAAAATTTGTGTTTTTCTTCTATATCAATGGCCTGAGTATCCTTGAGCTAGTGAGCCTCCTGGCTGTGTCCAGATCCTAAATCTGTGCCTCAGACCATTTCCTTTGCTGATGTAAACAGCCCATTTTTTTCTCTTGGAATGTTTGCTTTGGAGGCCACAAATGTCTTTTTCTTCTGGTTAGGCAATCTGGGAAAAGAGGAAGGTTTTACCTGCAGTGACAAAATACTCATGTAACTTCATAAGCACAGAAATTGTTTTAGAACTATTTTTGCTCATGGCACTAGTGCCTTGAAGTACATGTTTTTATTTTTGTCCTCCATAAGAAGGAGGAAAACTATCCTAAGTTGTATTTTAGTATTCACAGATATGCACCTAAATGTTCTTTTTTATGGATTTTTTTTTTTAAATTACAAAATTCAACTCAGTGATTTATGAAGTTAAGAACTGCATAGAAGACAGCATTTTAATGCTTCCCTGATGTAGAAGGGAACTTCCCTCTCTCAGAAAAATTAACATTTGTTTCTGAGTGGTTAGGATAGAATTTACTCAAGATATAGCAAGTACTGCTTATTTCAGTGCGGGTTTTCAATGAATAGTGTCTTTCCATCCTGTTGTTGGGAAGAGTATTAACATAGCCATGCTTCCTCTTTAGTTTTTTTTTTGTTCCTGCCAAAGAGTGTAATTGAACTGCTATTGCAAGCACAGATTAATAGGAATGTATTCACCTGAGTGCTTGAAATTCTCTACCTCTCATAGCTGCTATAACTGCTTGAACTGTTACTACACACAGTAGAGAAAAAAACCTGAATCCACGTGAGAATCTAAATCCCATTTCTATAGACAGCTAAAGGATTTAGGATTTAATGCTTATTAGCTTCCTGTAAAATCCTCATTGCTAAAAAGTGGGCATAAGTACCCGAGAAGTGCTGTGTGAATAGCCCTTTGCATTGGTCAAATAATGATTTCATTTTGGTTTGGGATTTTTTTAATTTATTTTTTCTCACCAAAATAAAAAGCCAACAACTGCAATTTGTTAGACATGAAAGGTTATCCTTGAACTCTCTCAAATCCTCCTGCTGGAGCTCTTCTGCTTGGCTTGGAATTCCTAAATAACAATGATTTAGTGTGGTGGTTCTGGTGTTTATCAAGGAGATAAACTACTTGGAAGCAGGAGCTGCTCACTGAAATAGCCAGAATTATTTGTATATGGTGGAATCCAAATGTGAGAAGGTTTTGTTCCCCCTCTACTCAACTGTGTTGTAAAGTGAGGGTTGAGAAAACCAGCCAGGAGGTAAGAATGATGATTTGTAAGTACTGTTGGTATTTTGGATGATTTCTCACAGAAGTGAGTAAACCATCCTGAGACTAAACTGCTCTTCATATCCTCCTTATTTACCCCTTGTTTCCCCCCAGATTTGGGAAAATCTGACTTCACTGTGTATGCAGACTCTGGAGAGTTATTTATGAATGTGAGAAAAATTGCAGTCTCTATGGCATATTTTGTCAAAAAATAAGAAAAGAAGTTGAGGATTTTCCCTGTTCTCATTCAGCCTCTCTGGATTGTGACACTGAACCCTTCCCTTTACATAAGCCAGGCCTGGTTTGGGTGATGTGTTGCTTTGGGAGGTTTCCAAGGCTGGTGCCAGCAGTCTCTCCAGGAACCTGGTGGAGTTAGATGAGTGCTTTGTTAAACCATAGATTTTAAAGCAGGGGAATGTTTGAAAACTGTCATGGTATCCCACATTACACAGCCCAGAACTCCTCACCACATCTCTCCTGCAGCAGAGAGAATTATTTTTCCCTATTAACACTGAAGTCCAACAGTTTGTGTCTGAAACACAGCACATCTTTCTGGGACACATGGGATTGCCTCAGTAAATCCATTCCACTTTCTAGGCTGCTGCAACATTTTTAACTGTGGTTGTTGAAACAGGGTTCAGCATCTGATTTCATAAGGTGCTGGCAAGCTCCTTATCAAATCACAGTCTTTGAGAGCAGCAGGCAGTCCCTTTGCTCAGGGATGCTGAGATGGTCTGAGCTGAACAGCATCCCTCTGTGAGGGCACCACTGCATGGGGTCCACAGCCAGTGCAGGCTGATGGTGTCAGAGCAATTCTGGTCAAACACTCTCTGATTAAAACAGCCCAAGCTATACAGCTGACAAATCAATATATTGAGATCTGACGTGCACTCACAAGGGGTTTTTGAACATTTAAAAACAAAACAAAACAAAAACCAAAAAAACAATAACAAAAAAATCTCAACAGTTCCAATGAAATTCCTTCCCCCTGGATCTTTTCATCAGCAAAAATGTTTCTGCAAACCTCAGGGACGGTTTTATTGTTATCAAAATAATTGGGCCTTACTTCTCCCATCTCATCCTAGCAGAGACAAGGACAGCAGGACAGTGGCATCAATCTGAACAAAAACAGGTAATGAGGAGTTAGTGCATTTCCTGTGAGGGATTTCAGCTTTTGGGCTGTGATATGAGGGAGTGGTATTGACACCAGTTTCAGCCTTTGCTTGGCCTGCCCAGCCCCTGCCTGCTCCTGTGGCCTCACAAACTGCAGAGCATCCTCTTGAAGCATGTACTGACATAAAGTCAGCTTCTGGAGAGAGCCACCTGTGCCAGCTCTGCAGGTTTAAAGAGACTGCCACCAGACTTGGAGGAAAGCAAGATCTGGATCTTGGAGATCCAGATATCCTACACTGGCCCTTCCTCCTGTGCAGCTTGTGACTTGCATGGGCAAGGAAAGACTGTTCCCAAATCTCTGTAGACTTGGCATTTGTGAATGTAGATTGTTGACACCCATAGTTTTGAAAGGTTTAGTGGTTTTGTGTGGCAGATTAAGTCAGCGTAGAGCCTTTCAGCCTCTCTGAAATATGTGGCCTCTGATGTATGTATTCATGAACTACTGTCTGTTATACCCACCTGGGAAAAGCTTTATAAGAGCCTAGATTACCTGCTCATTTATTTATTTATTATTATTACTATTTAAAATTTATTTATTTATTTATTTATTTATTTAATGCTGCTGAAAAGGTTCCTGCAATGAGTATTTGGGGAGGAAACTGAACATTTTTTCATAATTTGTTTAACCACTGAAAGCAGTGAAGGAGCAGATCCCTCACCAGTGTACATAGATTATCCTGTGAGCAACCACACCAGTCCACACAAGGGTAGAGCCTGGCCTCTTTTGAATATTATCTCTGTTGATTTGTATGGTCTTTTGCAGTGTAATGACTGCTAATTTTGAGCTTTAATTGCATGTGTTTGACAAAACCAGAAAGAGAATGAGGTTTATTATTGTTTTGATACAGTCTCAAAAGGGAAGCTTTTTACTAGCATTTTAATACAACCCTTTGTAAAACACCCAGCAAAGAAAAAATGCTGAGTCCAATCCTTCTGCTAGTGGAGTCACTGAGTTTCCTCTGGCTTTAGTAGGAGCTGGGCTGGGTTCAGTGTACGTGGTACACTCCAGCATTACTGATAATGAGTTACTGTGTTTTATATATTGATGCTTTTTGCTGAACAGTGCATCGGCTTTTTATGATTTGGTGAAATATAAAAATAAATTATTTGAAAAGTCCATATTTCTGTGTCTGTTCTTTGAAGGTGAGTTTAAATTGTTACAATGTAAGATAGAAAAAGTGTTCTCAGAGTCAGTGGTAGAGTCTTTGTACTCATTCCCCAGCCTCTCCATGCCACAACTTGTATAGTTAACATCAACCATCCTCAGCTGCCTGATCCCCTTTTGGTATCTTCTTCCAGCAGCTCAGCCTAATGCCATTGGAGACAAGGAGAAAATGGTCCTGTGTCAAAATGCAGCTAAAAGGCAGTTTGTTACCAAATGTAAGGGGACACCACAGGCTGCACGGACAGGCTAATTTTCTAAATGCCAGCTGGTTGATTTTTGTCATGTAGCATCAGTCTTTCTCTTCAGAGGTGGGCTTAAAGGTTCCCAACAGCTATCTTGGAGCAAGGAATTAATAAGAAACTAGTCCACACTATTTATTATCTTATAGGTTCCTGAGTTGGTCCTTGAGGGCAGCTGGTAACACCCCTTTTATAGTCACAAGCTGCCAGTTCTTCTGCTTGCTTCTGAGTGGCAAAAGGCAGAAATGACAATTACAATTGCTGCTATGGGCTCATTTCCAGACTATCAGGGTTGGAGAGATGAAGGGAAGGAGGGGGACCCAAGGCAGGCTTTGGGACTGCCTTTTACTGGTGCTAATGCTGAGTGCATCAAAAGGTTAATGCAAAACCATCCAGTGTCATCTCTCTGTGTCTTTTTCTATCTCCTCTAATCATATGGGTATGGATTTGCCTGCTGCTGCAATCAGGTGCTGCTGATGTGCCTGAAGAGGGTGTTGGCAGCTGCCCTCCAGCAGTTCACACTGCAGGAATGTGCTGAACACTGTCAAAACAACACTTACCCTTCTTTTGTGGTCTGCTTATTTCTGTTGTGTGTTAGTTACATACTCAGTGCATAAGGGAATTTAAGCAGCGCTTCCACCCTTAGCTATTAGTCCATTGTCATGCACAGACCTGCTACTCTCCCCTGACCCTTTGTCTCCTGCCACCCCAGACACTGCTCCTGGGAATGCCTCCTACCCACTGGCTGCTTCAAAAACTGCACCAAGGGTCCTGTCCTACATCACTCCCTCTTCCAGTCCTTTATATCTAAAACACAGCTATTTCCAAGCTTCATTGTACAATTGCCCAGAGATGGTTGGCTGCAGGACTTTTGACTTCTGAAACAAGTCACCAAGCTGGCTCCAGTGTGAATTCAGGTGAGCATCTCCACTGTTTGCAATAAATTATGTACTCTTTCTCCTTTTTACCTCTATTGAGAAATTCTCAGGAGTTGTACTGAAGGCAAATATTACCCAACATGACCAGCAAGGGGATTATTACCCAACACAGAAGATTTTATGTAACTTTAGAGATCCAGACTCATACAGGTGTCACACCCAGAAAAAACATTACTCAACAAGAATAAGGAGAAATCACATCCAGCTCACAGTGGTGAAGATAAAGCTATGATAGCTGAAGAATGAAGGGGCAGAGAGGGAAAAGGGCTTGCTTGTGTTTAAGGTTGGATGAATGGAAAAGGATCTTCAGTGTGAGAAGGAAATAAAAGAGGTAAGTCCACAGTGAAGTTGTGCAGCAGTAAAAAATTGTAAGCCCAGGAGATGGAAATTTTTCTCCTATTCCCAGTCATGTTATTGACCTACATTATTCACTCCCACATGCAATGGCTTTCTTAGCTTCAGCTCCTTCACCTACAAGATGCCACTGCTCTGCCAGTTTTAACTTTTATTTATTTCAAACCTTCTGGCTTTGAGGCAAATTTAATTTGTCTTTCTGCTGCCTGCCAAGTATCTGACTGACCACTGTAAACAATCCTGACCTGGGAGACCTTGTAAAGCCATGGTGAGACCTCAACAGTGATCTCAAGATAACTAAAGTGCTGCCTTTTCCCATGCCCAAAACAGTCCCAAACAGAGCCAACACAAAAGCCAAAAATAGCTGTTCCTCTGCTAAATATCCCTGACAGCCCAGATGTGATAGCAGTTCTCACACTAATAAATTGGGTCCAAGAAAAGGAACGTGGACATTTTCCATTTGAAGCAGGCTCAGTGGAAAGGTGGTCCTCTATCCATCTCCTGGGGAGCTGTGCAGGAAGGTGAGCACACATATGGTCTTCACACCACCTCCACATTTTCCCTCACAGTCCTAAGAGGAGTCAGCCCAGAGCCAAAAAGAAACACCACTGATTTGCCAGAGTTCAACCTGGACATTAAAAACTCCACTAACATTAAAAAATGCAAACAGAAGTCGAAATGACCCCCTAGCTCCATGTACCAATCTAAATGTTTTCCCCAGAGATTCACCAGCACACATGTTTAAAACCTTTCTTCTTTATTACCTAAACAGCAGGGCTGAGACAGTGGAGAGGGGAGGCAAGCAGTGGTGGGACTTACCCTCTGAGCTGGGGTACCTGAGTGATCTGCACACAGCCCCTGTGCCAAACACAGCTCCTGCAGCACCCTCTGCTTCCCAGCCCTGAGCAACCTCTGCTCCCCACGCAGCTCCTGCCCCGTGCCACCCCTGCGGCTTTGACAGCCTAAGAGGGGCATGAGCCACTGAAGGCACTTTCTGTTTTGGGCTGCAATTTTTCTGCCTTGTTCTCAGTCAAGCTGCTGACCCCTCTTCTCCTAAGAAAAGGCTGTCTGTGGTGTTTCTGTTTATCCTCTCCTGGTAAAAGTTCTTGGGCTCCTTGGGAGAAGGGCAGATGTATGGCCCTCTTTTGAAAAAATAACTAAAAATAAAGCACCATATTTTCTTTTTGATTGTTGCAGTGGCAAGGGGAATATAGGCCAAGGTCTTGCAGACATCATCTTTGGAGTGGTTTTTTTCCCCCCTATTTTTCCCTTTTACTTCAGCTCTTAGAGGTTCTGATGTCAATCTTACCATAAAAAATAACCAAAGCACATATCAGGTGCTACCTGAGCAGAATCTAAGGTCTAAAAATCTGGTTGTGTCGGTTCTTTGAAGCTCACGAACTTGCAGTCATTTGTTCTCCTCTCAGATACCCAAGAGCACCATTTCACATGATCTCCATTGAAAGGATTTCTTTCAGAGAAATTCATAGTATGGTGGGACAATGGAGTGATAAAGGAACTATGCATCCAACACCTTCATAAGCAATCCATGTTGCCATGATATAGGGCCTTGAACACGAAGGCATAACCTCTGTCTGAATACAAGCACTGTCATAAATCTTGTGTGTCAGCCTGTGGGGTTGATGGACAGAATCAAACCCAGAGGATTAAACTACTGATTTGATGATTAACCTGGGTTCCAGTGCTGCTATTTGTTATGTTAGGCAAATAAACTATTTTCTCTTTAAATGAGTTTCCGTGTTCTTTTTCACAGCTGGGAGTCAAGTGAAGCATTAAGAACCAGCTTTTGCTCATGGAGGAAAAACAAAGCATGAAGGGAAACAAGAAAGCTGTTAGCTGGGATTTTACTAATAATCATTTCAGGTATATAAATATAGCAGCTTGCCAAGCCTTTGACCACCAGAGCAGTGTCTGCAACAGCTCAGCTTTATTTTAACTTTTGCAAAATAATTCTTAGGAGACTTGAGGAGGCATTAGTTTGAATGTTCACTGATGTGAAAGAAAACCCCAAACAACAAAGAAGGAAAAAGGAGAACAAGTGTTTGCCAGATGGTGCACAGCAGGGTGATTTTCTTGCTCTTTGGGGTGGATGCTCATGTGTTCCTTGCATGTGGCTGCTGTGTGCTGGGAGCTTTGCACTGAAGTTTCTTAGCAGTGTCAGGCTGAAGGACGCTGCTACTGCCTCATAAACCAAGTCCAGCACCTCTGAGCAACGTGTCTTATATGAAGGAAGAAGATGACAAGTCGGGATTGAAATTCCTCCAGGACTTTGACATCCTGCTTCATGCTGGTGTAGTAGAGGCTCACAGCAAGAATCAGCACTGCACAAAACGAGAGCCACAGGAGCACAGGCAATCCAGATGATGTCCTGTCATCTGCTGAACGGTGATGAGGAGAAAAAAGAAAGCAGCACTATTTTAGTGCCATCTTAAACACTTTCCAAATTTGATCCCCTGCTGATGCCTTTGTCCCAGTTTTCTGGCAACAGCAGGGTACAGAGGGCTCTGGTGGTGAGCACTTCTGTCGGCATCAGTTAAGTGGTAGTGAGTCACACCTCCTGATGGAGGGTGGTGAGTATGAGAGATATCATCTAATGGAGCATTTAAAGAGTTTAATTATATACAATAAGAACAGGATTAGCATAGCTAATGCATGATCTTAACTTCCTCTCCAGCAATTATTTTTTATATCTTTACCCTAAATGTTAAGTTGAGTACTAGGAGAATATGAAGCTACTTGGTGTAATTATTTAATATTCATAAATGCTCCATAAAAGAGAGAAGCTATAGATTTCTGTCCTTTGCCCTGGTAAGTCAGCTTGTTTGGGACTCCTGCTAATTGTGCAAAGAACCCAAGCATGGCTCCATTAACCAAGAGGCATGTCCAGAAAGCTCTGGTGGTGTGAACCACTCTGCTATGGCTGCTAATTACACCAGGACATCCTCTGCATTTGCTCTTCAGCAGGAGGGTACTGAAAAGATTTTTCTTGCCTTCAAAATATTTTTCAAATATGTTTAAAGTGCCTCGGGTCGGGCACAGCACACATGTGGAAATCAGAGGGCTGCATTCAGCTTGCTGACAGCTGCATCCCAGTCCTTGCCTGCATATCCATCCCTGGGCCTTGGGGATGCAGTTTGATTCAGATCTGGCTGCTCTGCCTGCCTGCATGGCCATTGTACAGTCGGCACTATTTCATAAAGCACTTAGAGTATTAAACATGCAGTATAAAGCCAAATTCATGCCTGAATAAAACCCATATTGTGCAGCTATTTTCCTGCCATATGCACATAATCAATAAGGAGATAAAAATGTGGAGTGTATTATTATGGGTAAAGGGCCAACATTAGCTGTAACGTATTTAAATTAGCTTCCACTCCGAGCCCTGGAATACACACCAGTCAATTAAACTGTCATACAGATGTACAGAGAGGAAGGTAAAAGTCATAAAACCAAGCCAGAAACACATAATAATGTATCAAAAAGTGTATGGGGAAAAGGTAAAATGTTAATAGGCAGTCATTTTATAGCTAACCAGAAACCAAATCAATGTCCCATAATAGATCTGAGTGAGTTATTTGCAGCAAGTAATTTATTCATTTGAATTTAGCCCTTCTTTCTGTTTGCAAATTATCCATGTGCAGACTTCAGATTTTATAAATTTGTTTATTTGGCATTATTCTATGAAGGGTTGATATGAAGGTGTTTAGCCAGGGAATTGCTCACTACTTTCTGGTTTTTCAGAGATTTATGGGTTGGGAGTTGGTGTTTCCCTTGTGAGATTTCCCACACCACAGGCTGCAGCTCTTGACTGGGTGCCCACCTGCCTTTTCCAACATGGGGCTTGGCTGATGAGCACATGTGGGAGCAAGGAAACCTTCCTGTGGAAGCTGAACAACTTTTCACATCAACATTTTCATATGAAGTGCTTGTAACCCGTTCAGGTTTAAAAAGTTGCTTTCCATGTGAAATTTCTGGATGATCTCAAATGTAAAAGTGTGTTTTCCCTATGTCCTCTCAGTTATGAAATATGTTCTATCCATGAACATAAAATAATAATAATAATACAGAAGAATAATTCCACCTGCAAAATTGGGATGAACTATGCTCACAACAGCTTCAGTCCATCACTACATTTAGGTGCTGAAAATCAAATTTGCTTTTCTAGATTACAATTAGAAATTTAAAGCTTAAATTTGTTAGTTAAATTTCTTGTTGGAAGAGCACACACCTGTGCCCAGTCTCATGGCGACTCATCTGAGAAAAGCACTGGACCTGGATACAGGAGATTTTGTTTCAGTTCCTGCCCTGGATACACATTTCCACTGCACCCTGAAGAATATTTGATCTTTGCTTCTCCACTGGGCCCTTTTCTGCCTGTAGTACCCTGTTTCTAGCCCAAAAACAGCTCTAGATGATGCTTCCATTGTCATGAGCATACAGCCCTTCTTCCTGGACAACAGCAATAGCTGAGGGATTTGGGGATGTCTGCTTTTTGGCCTCTCAAAACTATAGGTCTGTGTGTGCATATATACATGTATATAGGTACCCCTCTGCCCTTTGCTGCACTGCCTACAGCAGGGGCTCTAGAAATGATCACCATCAGAATATCCAGATACACTCATTAGCTTGGGGGTCTGTGAGGCTGCCAGGCCTCAAACAGAAAAGAGAAAAAAACAATTATTTTTATTATTTCTACCCTGCTGTCAGCATATAAATGAATTGTCTCTTTCCCTCATGTGGAACTCGGCGGGGAGAACTATTGTTTAGCTTGGGGTGCTTTCCTTGCATATCTTAGTGAGAAACCTGTACCTATTCTAATGCCATAAAAATATATTAATTATATTTAAATTAAAAATAGCTTCAGGGATTTAATTTTTGTTTCCACTATCTGTCTTACTAGATGTCTTGTTTAAAATTGCACCAGAGCACATCATTGTGCTGCTTACTCTGAGAAGAAAAAGCAACAACCACTGACAACACAAAATGCTGTGTAAATGGAGGGTATATTTGCACAGTGCACCCCACCAGCTGAAAATCAAACTCAGGTTAATGCTATGGATGGCTCACAGTTATAATGTGAAAAATTCAACTTACCCACAACGTAGTCACAGCAGGAAATGACTAGAAAACAGAATGAAAATGTTCTTACTCTCCTGGAAAGGTCTCTTGGCAGTGGGTACACAAGAAAAGCCAGAACCAAGCAGTGTCTCTGAAATTGCATCACCTGAGAGATGCTGGGCAACCTCTTACAGCACTTTGGCTCTGGGTGGGGACCTACCCAATCCATGCAAACATGCAGATGGAGGAGCACTTCGGAAAGGGAGGGAAAATTATTGTGTGTGAGAATTCAGAGGCAGGATTGCTGCTGTTGCAGGGAGGTCAGGAAAAACCCCTCCCTATTCCACATAATTCCTAGAAAGGAAAGGATTCAGAGCAGCAGGCTGAAAGAATGCAAGTTAAGAAAGCACTGTCAGGCTAACTTTCATCAACAACATCCTGGAAATGCGTCTGCTTGGCAGCCAAGGCCCAGACACAATCCAGGATGAAAAGTCCATAGAACGGAAAAATTTCAGTGGTGCCAGAAACCTTCATTTTACCATCCTTAATGTGAATAATATTGTGTGGACAAACAGCAAATAATCTAAATCACAGACTATTTGCAACACAGAATGTTAATTATGGGTTGGAACATTTCTCATGAGTCCATGAAAAAGAGTCAGAGTCTTCTCCATGCTTGCAGCTCCCTACATGAGTTCCAGCGTGGCTTTGCTGGAGCCAGAGCCAGTGGGAGCTCAGCCTGGACCCCTGGGGTGGGCTGGACAGACTGCAGGATTCCCAGTGCTGAAGTGGGCATGGACTGTGGCAGAGAGCTGAGGGAGTTATTAATTCCCATTGGAATCCTGCTCATGAGCAGCCAGATGAGTTTTGAGGAATTTAAGGTTGACTCACCGAGTCTTTCCAGGAGTTCTGTTTTGGTGGGAAAGCCCAGACCATGACAATAAGCTTATTAAGAAACAGTTTCCCCTTCATGCATCAGGAGGCATCCCAAACAATGTATTGCCAAACAAATAAGAGTTCTGTTTTTAGACACACCAGCAGATGCCAAGCTTTATTTTCAGAAGCTGTAGCAGTCCAAACAGGTGGCTGACATTGAAATTTTACCATTCTGCACCTGTGTTTTGATCAACTGACATATCAAACCCATATAATTTTAGTTCTCTACCAATAAATAAAATTTTCTTGGTTGGATGAGTTTGGGAAAGTAAGAAGGTAACACCAGTTATTATTTGGTGTGGCATACAGCACATGCAGAAGTGCAAACTAGATCCTTGTGCCAGACCTCTGCTGGAGGTCATTCCCAGTTGACCTACCTGCAATATTTTGGCTCATGAATGAGGAGACCAGAGGTTTTGTTGGCTATGTCAGGCCTTGGGTGCCTTTGCTGGCAGAAGTTATTACACCCTGGCTGCTAGGCTCAGACCTCTGCTATTGTATTCTGTGGCATCCCAGTTAACCAAAATGACAAAATTATGTTTAAATTTGGTCTAAGTGGAAACATTGTTCTTGGGTAGCCCTGGGGCCCGGCCAAGCCCATGGTCTCCAGTGATCCCTGTGGGGGCTGACTCTGGGGCTGTGGCAGCAGCTGGGGGTGAGGCAGGAGTCTGTCTCCTCCCAGGGCAGGAAGGCAAAGGGACCAGATACAGTTCTGCAGAGCACAGAGCAAAAATCATCCATCCTCTGCTCCATGCTGAGCTGAAAATCACAAATTATCAGAGGGGGAAGCTGATGTGGACAGCCAGAGTGGATGTTAAAAGCCAGAAAGGTCATGCCAAAATTCCTGATAACTTGAGCATACCATGTTCAATGACTTCTTCTGGCTCACGAAATCGAACCCTTCTCTCTGCTCTCCGCTTTTCCCCCACAGCTTGGTCCACAGGTGGCCTTTTCCTCAGAATGGAAGGAGGATAGCTACTGTCATCTGTCTAAAGAGTTCATCAAAACACAAGACATGTGGCCATTCAAACAGGGTTAATGTATCTGGGTGAAAGTTTGATCTTTGGTGGCTCTGTTACCGTGTCCCTCGAAGGACATGATATGTAACACATCTGCTTGGACATAGTCAGGCAACTGCAATATTTACAGCAAGACAAAGGGATATTCCTACATTGCCATAGACCTGCAGTGCTCTAAAGCTGTATTCTCAGGGAAAAGAATAGTTAAAGGGATGAACAGCAAAATTTTCAGAAAGGGTTTCCCTAAATTGTAACAAATATTTGCTGATGGTGGCTGCTCAACAGCCTAGGGCTGTTCTTAGAGGAACATAAATGTGATATGAAATATATGAACCGTATCATTTGGAGCACCTTTGAAATGTTCTGAGCTAAGCAGTTTCATTCAGAATGCAGTGTTACCATTTCAACAACTGGGACTAGGCAGCTGACTTGGATTTGGACACTTCTGGTGGGTTCAAGAAGGTAATTTACTTGCACTTCAATGTAGCAATTATGCTGTTGCTCTGATTTTTGCTTAGAAATCACATTTAATCTTTAACAACAGAACCATAATGCTGTGAATTCTTTGAGATTACAAGAAACAGAGCTTCAATAACAGCAATAGTTCACTGTTCTGCATGGGAATGATCACACAGTCAACTGCCCAAAGTGAATCCAAAGAACCTTGGTTCAGACACCCACTGCCCTCTGGCAATAGAGAGCAGGTGGAAATTTTTCCACTTTTCAAAGATCAAAGTGAGGGGTAGACATTCATAATAATTTATTTTTAAGACTGAAATATTCTTCTCTAGACCTTTCCATCTCTCCACTCTGTTCCTCTGCTAGATAAAGGTTTTATTTCTCCTGGTCACTGTCCCTGCTCCCTGTTTCCACCCTTGTTTGTTGTTCCCCTACTCAGTGATTGCCTGCTCCTTACTTCAATTTTTCTCCTTGTTTTGATCTTTCTATTCCTCAATTAACTACTTTTGTGCTTTTTTATTAAAAAAAAATATTTTATTATTATTTTTAAATGGCATTGCCTTGACTTTTCTCATTGGATGCTTTCCCCACACTCACCATTTCACACACCCACCCCCTGGACTGCAGAATCAGGATTAGGTCCTGCTGTCTGCAATCTGGGGGTGTCAGACCCCAGAGTAAAGGGGATGAACAGGTTTTACACATCACATTTTGGATAACCTCAGAAAACATATTACATAGCCAGCAGGAACTGCTGTGGGGTGAGGAATGTCTTTAGCTTTGATTCCTTCTCCTGAGAGATTCATAAAACCAATCTCATCACTGATAAGGATGCTTTCTCTCATCCTGGGGTCATATCACCTCTGTCTCACGACTGTGGACAGTGTGTGTGGGAGCTCTGTGTTTTTCATTCACCAGCTAAGAAGCTGGAAGCTCCATCCAGGTTATGGAAAACATGGATTTCACTTCTTTCCAAGTCCAAAGAAGTAAAAATACATCTTATATACACACCCTCATCATCTGAGTTATGGTGCACACACGGGAGCAGGGAATCTCAATCTCTGCCACTGAAGCTGTCTTGTTTGGCCTTGAATAATTAAATATTCATTGGCCTAAAGAAAGAAAGAATGACTTTACAGCTTGGTGTTTGGGTGCTCCCTTGGGGGTGGCAGAGGTCTGCTCCTACCCTTGCTCCAATGAATATTTAATAGGGAATACTTAAATATTCATTGGAGCGGTCACTGGGAACAGGGTCTCTCATCTACCAGGTGAGTACCCCAATCACTCTGCAACAGCCACACACACACACTTACTTACATAATGAATATTTGATTATTCTGTGTAAAATGAAACAGGTTTAGGGAGACACAGCCCAGCTCAGGCTAGGGGTGGTTATAGCTTTAGCTATGAGGGCTTCTCCTGTGGCACAATCAAGGAAACTGAACCTTGTATTTGAAGAGATTTATAACTCCAAGTGCAGCTGTTGTCCAGATGAGCTTTTCCAAACACTTAGCAGCGACATCATGTCAAAAGAGAAAATCATTGAACAACTAGCTGGTTGGATAGTACCTAGCCAAGGAAGACTTTCAAAAGGAAGTAATTTTACAATATTTACTAGACTTTAATAACTTGTGGAAATCAAAGCTACGCAGTGTCAGAACAAGCAAAGCACTGTCCCCTCAGACAGAAATCTGGTGTCAACTTACTGCAACAAGAGCTGGCAACCTACCAAAGTGATAGCTGGGAAATTGTATGACCCTAAAAAAACCCATTTGTAACAAGCTCCAGGCACTGGACACAGGGACTCCATCTCCCATCAGAAGATTACTTACCTGTGGCTCCTTGCCACTAGGATCAGAAAGTGAGGCTGGACATATTTGGGACATGTACCCTGGATGCCAACATGAAGCCTCCTGCATGAAGCTTTGGAGGGAAAGCCTCTTGCCCAGGAAAATGAGGAGGACCAGGGAGAAGCATCCGGAGACCCCTCTGCGGCACCGCGCAGACGGGAGCGGCAGCGGAGGATGAGGGAGGGGAAAGAAGAGTTTGTGCCCTTCGTACCAGGGCTGGAGTGGGAAGGATGACGCCAAGAGAGATGCACTCAGGAGCCAAAAATAGCACATAGTGATAATAGTGATTGTGCAGCTGGAAGCAGGGCTTTTCTGGCACCGGGAGAGGGCCTGAATGGAGCAAGTCACAGATAAACACCTACGTGTTTGTTTTGTGTGAATGTGAAGCTGAGGGTGCCTTTTCCAAAAACAGTTGCTGCATTTCTGAGATTTTCTTCCTGGAATCCATTCCCAATCACTAATATCTTTCAAGTGGGATTGCTTTTAATCCTTCTTCCATTCAAAATATGTGGGTAAAGCCATCAGGAAATTATATAAATATAGTGGGATGACAGATATCTCCCTCCAGAACAGTTATGGCCTCACTTTATATGTTTTACAAATTAAATCCATTATTATAGTAATAAAATGGGATTTAAACATTTGACATTTCTACTCATATTATAATAAGATTATTGATAGAAAGAGACGTGATTTACTGTTCAAGAGGTTTTAACAGCCCCTTGTCAAATGCTGAAGACTGGGCATCATCAAATATAAAATTTTTAGTTAAAAATACCTGGCATGATTGCTGAAACATACTGGTTTACTATCCCTGGAAGCACAAGCTTGTGCTTTTTATTTTTTTTATTTTATTTATATTTTTTTTTCTTTTCTTGGAACTATTTATTTGAAGTGTCATGTGTAATGTACATGGTTTGATTTCTTAGCAGGTGATTGGATGGATATTTCCATGTCGTGGTCACTCGTTCTGCAGTGCAGAGAGGGTTGCAAGATGCTCTTACAGGCACTGGGAACCAGAGAGCACAGCTGTTCTGTGGGCTTCACCAGTTATTCACTTCCTCTCAGGGATATGGGGAATGGGTGAGTAGATGGAAAGGGTTGGGATCCAGAGAAAGCTGGGCCAGAGCAGCAGAGGAGGTTTCTGTGGCTGATGTGGGGTCAGAAGACCCCTCAGGACTTGCTGCCCTCCTGCAGCTCAGCCTCTGCACTCAAGCCTGCCCTTAGTGATATCAATCTCCACGCGGAGAGGAACAGATTTGGCTGGTCTAGGGCTCTCCACCGAATGCACTATATCTAAAAGCCTCCCAGAGAGGATTATCTTACCTTCTCTTTCCTGTGCATTGGGGTGAAGGAGGGCTTTTCCTCATGCTGGAACCAGCTCACAGCCGCAGGCCTTGTGAAATGCTCCCAAAATCCCCTCTCTGGTGGGTCCTGCGAGTGTTCCACAGAAGTTATTTCAGGATATCTAGGATGGTTTTTTGCTGGGGAAAAGACAGTCTTTAAAATTTTGTTTATAGCAGACCCCAGAGAGAAAGGTGACAAAACCTGTCAAACCATGGTCCCTTGCTTCCCCGGCTCCTCCTCCCTCCTGTTGTGATAATCACTTCTAATTCATGTAAGAAGGAATTTACCTGCCTGTTTTGGCCAGCAAAACTGATGAAGGTGGGATTAGGGAAGTCAAACTCTAGTCCTTATCTATCTTTGACTTTGTCCATGGGAACTGTCTTGCTTATTTTCAGTAGTGTCACCCAGCAAGGCACATGAGAAGGTCTTGTGCAGCCCCTTATTCCTGCAGAGTGGGGCAATGCACTTGTCAGCTTTCAGACCTGAATGAAAAACCTCGTTCATGTCTTTTTCACTGAACCCAGCTTTGTTCAAAGGAAGGCTTCACAGTTTTCTAAGTATTTGGTTAAAGACATTTTGGTAATTTCTCAAAAAGAAACCAAACAAAACATCCCACAAAACCACCAATATAGAAGTTGGTGGGATTTATTTTATTCAAGAAATGTACATATGGAGACAACATTTATAATTTTTGATGCTAGAAATGATTTCTTTTCAGTTCTAGATTCCCTATAAATGTAAACAATTTTTTTCTTCATTTGATTGAAAAATAATTGGGCAGCTTATAAATGTTTTCATGAAAGATTGCTATCTAAATGCCAGGAATGATAATTTCATAGTGACATTCTCACTTTTATCTCAAGATGTGCTAATTATATTGATAGTAATGGTTGTAAATGCTTGAATAATTAGTAGTTACCTGGGCACTCAAGTTTCAGCGGATAAAGATGTCAGCAGTTCAAATCTCAAGACAGGGACAGTTCCATTCGTGCTAAGTGCTTTTGATTGTAGTTTAACAACCTAAAATTGGACATATGTTGGGAATAAAACACAACCCAATGCCTGAAGTAAAAAAGTCCAGGAAAATAACTTATCTAGCCTCTGAAATCATTGGTAATAAATAATAGTTACTATAGTGGAATGATTTCTGCATTAGAAGCTGTAAGAATTTCCTTTAATATTGTCCTTCCATTTAAAGTAATTTTTCATCTAAGCTTTGATCTCATTTCATGCAATGTATGTCAGAAACAAAGCTGGACAAATAATTCATAAATGAATTATTTAGCTTGTGAGTGTCACCTCTATTTCTTTCAGCTAATTGTTCACAAATAGATAGTGACTTTTGTGAATGTATTCATTATTCAGATTTATTCAGTGGATAATTGCTGGGAGTAATTCTTTGTCTGTAGATTGCTTGGAATCATTTTGCTGTGAACATTTAATAGTAAAGGTCTATCCAGGCTTTCAATAAAAGACAAACTAGAATTATCTATAACCCCTGATGTAGCCCTTAAACACGAATAATATACTGCAGCCTTAAAGAGCAACACCAACATTTTTATTAAGGAATTCACTACTTCCCATAGTACACAGGAGGGAAAGCAAAAACATTTCAACTCTCTGTGTAGCACTGACATTGAATGGTGCACATTGTATATGCAAACATGTTTTAGCAAGAAAAGGGTTGCTTAAGTGTTTGCTCAGCAGAAAAACAAAACATGCCTAAACAAAACATGATTGACTTCTCAGAGAAAAAATATGAACAGTCCACACAAAGGAATTAACTGCACAGCCAGCATTTCTTCTGCAATACCCCAGTGGAAGATGTCTAGGGCATAAACATAACATGATAAAACAATTTTACACTCAGAGGATAGCTGTGTAACCATATGAACTCTTTTTCCATTTCCTTCTGTGGGAATAAATATTTTAGACAAGCAAAGTATTTTGTAAATGATGCCTTTGTGGGGATTCGTCTGGCCTGGTTCAATTATTCTGAAACCTAGCAATTTTCTCATATCATTGAATCTGCTTTTATTGCAAATAGGGTCATAGAAATAGTCACTCATTGCAATAATGGACTTCGTTTATCTTAACTATTAACACTTCCAGTAGGTTTACACACACACACACACCACACACACGTATATATTCAATATTTATGGATATGCACAGTGCATATATATTAATAATGAAGTAACTTTATCTCCAACAATCTGAAAACAAAATCACGTAATACCATACAGTGTGGGGTGCAGTGGTAACTGGAAGCAGCATATCAGGATAACAGAACAGAAAAGGAATAAATAAATTAGAGGGGAGTCTTCCATATCTGCCTCAACTTCCAGAGTGTCAGTTGAGCCTTTGCTCAGTATTCCACCTTTCGCGGTTCTGTGTACTCTCGATTAATAATTTAGAGACGCACCTTTTGGAAGCAGGGTAAGTTTTGTGTTTGCCAAGAGTGATTTTCCACTAGTCAGAGAGTACACCAAGAAATAAAACAGCAAATTGCCCCACAGGGTATAATTAGCTGTTGCTGCCTTCCTTTTTCTGCCTCTGGAGAAATGGATTTACTGCTGGAAGTTATAGGAAACCCATGAGATGTCATACAGCACAGTTTCTTCTCCTCAACCTTCCAGTAAAGAAAGCCCCATGTAAATCCTGGCCTCAAGACAAAAATCAGCTCTTTGGACTGCCTGTTTCCATTCCACATCCAGAAGGATCATGATTAATCTGTTTTCTGATGGTCAATCCAAAATGGGGCGTTTTTGTGGAGTTGGTGAAAAAAAAAGATCAGCAACAAAGCATAGTGGAAGCAGAGCACTGAATGGGAAGATGATCTGGTAACACTTGGTGTGTGTAGCCAGCCAGGATGAAAGCAATCAGTTTTCCTTCCTGTATATCTGTTAATTCCTGTGATGCCAGAGAGCTGTGAGCCCAGGTGTGTTTTTCCCCAAGGAGGTGCAGTTGTGGTCAGTGCCAAGTGCAGCATCCACAGTCCCTCTGTCACCCCATGAGGGACCCACAGGATTACCCTCCCAGAGGGACCTCTTTGCCCTTTAGTTATTACTGTCCTGTGCTGGGAGTTTGCACTGATCACACAGATCTGTCAGTACCCCCTTGATGCAGGCAGGCAGACCTGGGCCATTCACCTAGGATTGCTAACCTTTGAGAAAATCGGATTAGGGGTGGTGTTACTGCACCTGGCCATCTGATCCACCACAACAGAGCTCACCTCTGAAGGCAGAGCCAATGCCCTATTTGCAGATGTAGAATCTCAGAATTGTTTTGGTTAGAGAAGACCTCGAAGGTCAGTGAGTCCAACCTGGTCACTTGTCTCACTGACCTTCAAGGTCAGTGAGTTAACCCAGCACTGCCCAGGCCACCACTAAACCATGTCCCCAGCTGCCACATCTAAATGTCTCCTCCAGGGATGGTGACCCAGATGCTTCCCTGGGCAGACTGCTCCAGTGCTTGACAACCCTTTTGGTGTAGAAATGTTTCCTTAATTTTAAATTTAATTTTAAATTTAATTTTAAAATTAGATTTCCAATCTAAACCTCCCCTGGTGCAATCTGAGGTAATTTCCTCTTGCTCTATTTCTTGTTAATTGGGAGAAGAGGCCAACACCCTCCATCCACAACCTTTTTTCAGGTAGTTGTAGGGAGTGATATGGTGTCCCCTGAGCCTCATTTTCTCCTGTTGAAACTGGAGCTGCTTCCTCAGCTGCTTCTCATAAACCTTGTGCTCCAGACCCTTCCTCAGCTCCTTTGCCCTTCTCTGGACACACTCCAGCGCCTCAATGTCTTTCTCATAGTGAGGGGCCTAAAACTGAAAGCAGGATTCAAG